GTTCAGCTTACAATATCTTACACCACTTCAGACTTATGCCAAGTACCAGCTCTTGGCCAGGGTGCACAGTCACAGCAGAGAGATGGGATGAAAAACCTGAAGCTACTTCCCAATAACAGAGAATGGGCTGCAAACATCTTCCCTTGGCAAAAAGGCCGTTGTTTTCAACCTCTAATCCCGTCCCCAGCAATGTTAGGCTTCAAATCTTTGCAGGGGTTGGGGAAGAAGAAAAGGAAGAAACAAAAAGAAAAGGAAGAAATATGAATCAAGTGTGTCTCTCGGGAGACACATGGAGCCAGCCCCCCAATCCCAGGACGAGGGATGCAAAGGGCTTGTGCGTAGAGCACGCCTCCCCTTTACTGCCCCTTCCTTCAGCACTGGAGCAGGAGGATGCTCCCTGAGCAGAAAGCCATCTACAGGACTGGAGGTCGACATCAGCAGGGCTCTGAGGAGCATGAAAATCTCTAAACAGGGAGCAAGAAACACCCGCTCTCAGCAGCGCAGAACGCCAGGTGTACCTGGATACAGCACCAAGAGCAGGATTTTGGTCCTCAGCACCTCCAAGGCACCACACCATTTGCCATTAACCTCACTGCACTCTCCAGAGCCCTTTACCATCCCTCCCACCTTCTCCTATGCCCGACTTCCAGGCAATTGTAAATAGGAATTCAAGGCCCCAGGTTTTGGTATTTGGGGGAGAAACCTGGGTTATGGAGACAAAGATGTAGGTTTCCATCCTAGCTCTGCCCCTTCCAAGCACGGAGGCCTTGGAAAGGTTCTTGCCTGGAAAAGAGTAGGCTTAACCCCTACAGCCTAGGCTGCTATGAGGGACCCAGCATTCAGCCCTGGCGAGTGTGAGCCTGTGGCCGGTGCTTCTGCGTGGCCAGAACAAGTGGCAGGAGCCTCCATGCGCAGCCCGCTCTCTCCAGCTCTCCAGAGCACCCCAGAGCCAAACCTTCATTTTCTTGTTCTCCAAATCCCCACTAGTTCTTTCTTTCCCGCCCTCCCTCTGGCTCAGGGCTGTGCTTTTTCCTTCCATCAGCTCCTAAGCATCTGGTCCCATTCCCTCTGTGAACATCGTCAGGGAAGGACGCTAGAGAAGTGCATACACGTGGGGACAATTCAGCCCACATTACCTCTTTTAGTGGCGTTGCACGTTTTAACATTTTAAATTCCTGAAAGATTGACACCCATAAAGAAAAGTACACAAAAAGGAAATGTACACTTAATGAATTATCATCAACCAAAGACCCGTGAAGACATTTTCCGGGCAGGAAAAGGACTCCCCAGGTCAGCCCTCTCTCAAATCGCAAAATTACCCCTGGCCCTCACCCCGCCGCATGCAAGAGACCGCGGCCCTGCGTGTGTACCATCGCTGCCTGCTGGTGTCCATGGTTTGCCACCTCTAGACACATCCCTCAGAGCTGGAGCTGTTTTCTGACTCTGAGCTGTGATTGGGGTTGTGGTTGGGCTGCCTCCGTGCGGGGCTCCATGGACTCAGGAGGACATTAGCGCAAGGCACCACTGAGGAAGACACTGGACCTTTTCATCCGTGCTCACTGCTCTACAGGAGGAATCAAGCAAACTGCAGCGTTCACCCAGTCAGACGCCACCGGACACAGATCTGTTTCTGGGGTTTGGTTCCTATGTGAACACTGCTGGGAATGCTCTCTCAGGTCTCCTGCCAAGCAGGTGCATCATTTCTCTGGGGTCCCCTCCCGGAACGGAAGAGCTGGTAGCTTCATCATCCACATGCAAAGGGGCAAACTGATTTTGCAAAGGGCAGTACCAGTTTCCACCACACCTGCAGCTCTGTCCTCGCCAGCAAGTCATAGAATGATGCTTTTTCATTTCTGCCAGACCGGGGGGTGTGGAGGGAAATTGCAGTGACTTTAATCTGCATTTCCCTGACACTGAAGAGCCTATGCACCTTTTCTGCCTTTACTAGTCATTACAATTTTTTTCCTTTGTAAATAAAATGCTGCCTGCTCAAGACTTTTGGCCATTTTTCTGCTGCATTGTCTCATATTATTTGATTAAGGAATTTATGGCAGGCGCAGGGGCTCACGCCTGTAATCCCAGTACTTTGGGGACTGAGGTGGACAGATCACCTGAGGTCAGGAGTTTGAGACCAGACTGGCAAACATGGTAAAACCCCATCTCTACTAAAAATACAAAAATTATCTGGGTATGGTAGAGTATGCCTGTAATCCCAGCTACTCAGGAGGCTGAGGCAGGAGAAGCACTTGAACCCAGGAGTTGGAGGTTGCAGTGAGCCAAGATTGCACCACTGCACTCCAGCCTGGGCAACAGAGCAAGACTCCATCTAAAAAAAAAAAAAAAAGGAATGTATGGATTAATACAAATTTAGGTATTTTGGATTCATGGCTTAAGAATACATAATTATGAAACAAAGGACTCCATTTCCCATTAAGGATCTTTCTGAGACAACTGAAGAGATTCGAGGATTTGTGGCAAGGGCTTTCTCCACTCCTGGGACTCGTGCAGGTCAATCTCCGTTTCCCTCCACTGCGGCCGGCCTTAAGGTACATTCGCATGTATTATTCATAAACACACACACACCCATCCCATCAGCAGCTCATTTTAAATCTCATTGTCTGATTTTCAAATTCTTATAGAGTCTACTTCTATGGTAACCCTGGTGCAAATTTGAGGGCACAAAACATTTATTAAATACTAAAGTTTACCTAATTTTAATAAGCTTGAAGAAAAGTACTCCCACCACATATAGAGTGGATTCTGCAGATGAGCCACTCTGTGTATGAGGTGGCTTCTCTGTGAACTACCAAGGGTGTGCCCAGAGGTCCAGCTGCCTGATGCTTACAGATCAAGATGCTGCCCAGCCGTGGCCCACACTGTTGGCCATAATCTCACACAGATGATGGCCACTTTCTGCATTATTTGTGAGGGCTGTGTTAGCTTCCAGGAAGCAGTTAATTCACAGTATGCAAACTCAATACCTCCTGCCTCAGATATTCTCCCTTAAATTTCAGAATTCTCCCCAAGACCTGCCATGGCTCCATAAAGTTTTCAGAAGTGGCCCTCGCAAGACACTGGCTCCCCTGCGCCCCCATGTTTGCAGAGGGGAGGCCTGGAACACGGCTGGGGATTAAGAGAGTTTTTCTATAACTCTGTAGACCTGTGGAATATACTCATCACACCAACCAGGGACCCAGCAGTAGAAGGACACCTGCCATGCCAGCATCAAGGATGCGGCCAATGGAACCACACCCTGACGTGCAAACACCACCCTGCTCAGACAGCGCCGTCTTCCCTGGGAACCTGCCCTTCGGCCAACGGAACCACGCCCCTGCGTGGAAACACCACCCCTCACGGGCAGCGCCGTCTTCCCGCAGAAGCTGGCTTCCCGCCCAGCACATTCACTGCACAATATACACTGGACTTCTATGCACAGGACAGTCTGCTCTTTCTTCCCCAGCCCATTCTGTGGACCAAAAATTCCACATAGGCAGTTAAAAAAAAGGAATATTTCTATACAGCGAAATGTTACTGAGAGCTAGTTGGAAACATGATGTGGGCAGGCGGCACACGGATTTGATTCCAAAAACAAGCTGCTATCTGTAGATTGGGCAACATTCAGCCAATTTTGCACGTTTTCTAAGAAAGTTCTTCAGGACTCTCCTTAATTATCGGATGACATCACTAAAGCAACAGAAATAGATGCCCGTACCCCCACTGCTTTCCTCTTCATGAAACAAGCTTTACCTCAAAACGCTGCTCGTGGTTGAAGGAAATGGGGTGTGAAAGTGCCTCTCGGAGTGAAAGAGGGACACACACAGACCCAGTTCATCTTGGTGATGTTTTTCTGTTTCATTCCTCCATGAGTTTGCAACAGGACTATTGGGTGTATATGTTAGCTTAACTAAAGACATATTTCTAGCACCTTTTAGGCTCTGGAGAAAAAGTTTTTACAAATTAACATATTCAATTCCACATCACGCATCCTGGTGGCCAGCCACTGGAAACGTTAGGCCTTAGGTCATCCCTGACTGTGGACACCTCGTTGTCATGGAACCCGCAGAGGTCATGAGTTCTGGCCTGGGCCTTGGCTCAGGAAGCTTGAAAAACATCTGAATCATAAACAGAGTGTCCAGTTCGAAGATACCTGCCCCTTAAATAGAGAATAAATCAAAGGTAAACTCTAAATGCAAACGCCGCGAGATTTCACATGAAACACAGGAGCACATTTCGTGCTTTGTTACTGCTGTATAATGATGTGCTCTGACTCTCTTAATACATATGATCCAGGAGCCTGGAGGGCTGGCTCATAGCGTTTCTTCACAGATGGTCTGATAAGTCTCCCCCACAAATTAATCAAAGTTGGGCTGCAGATTATTTTAAAATAAAAATGACCTAAATCATTTATGGTTTGTAAATCATCACGATTGGTAAAAAAATAAAATAAAAATAAAAATCTGTAAAATGTTCTCTTTCCCATTACTTTTTTTTTTTAACTTCTAATTTTTTTACTTTTAGTATATCAAGCCCTCTTACGAGTAATAAAATAACACAAATAAACCATTTGGAAATTGACTTATGAAGCAAGACCCATTTTTCTTTGAAAACATATACATACAAAACCAGCAAGTTTCACTTTTTTGGCCAAAGAAAACATTTGGCCATTTCCACTGGTGACTCCAAGTCCTTGTGGTTATTTTAAACAATTAAGAGTCCTGAATCATCATAACGCATCATGCTCAGACCCAGGGCTGTCTTCCTCAGTAAGCTGGCCTCTGGCCACATGCACACACATGCATAGCTTCGCTCTTCCTCTCTGAGAAACAAGGGCTTCCTAAAATGTAGGCTTTGTCTAGTGACGAGATCTATTCCCACTGTGGCTCACAATGCCACCCGAGCTGGATTTCCCTTTGAATTACGAGACCCCAGGGAGATGATCAGAAGAAACAGCAAACCAGTTCCCTTCAAGCCCTCCATGCTGCAAGGCACGTCAGACCTACCTGGGCACCGGGGCGTCTTGTGGGCCACGGCGGTGCCGCTGATGGGTCTTCCGTTGGGCGTGACGCACCAGCAGTATCCTGTGTAGCTGTGACACTGGACCTGTGAGAGAGCAGACGGGTGAGCCCCTGGGCCCTCGGCACAAAGCAGCGCCTCACGGCTGCGCGACCCACTCGCATTGTGCAGCGCTGGCTCACACCGGTCCTGGGATACCCACAGCCACCTCTGTGGCTGCATGTGAGTCCTCAGTAACGGAAGTGTGCAGGTCTTGACCCCAGGGTTTTAGGGATAAAAGTGGCCCAAATCAGCACTTTACTGGCTGCTAGTGTGTGCTAGACACCTTAGCTGTGAAGTCCCTAATCCTCACCGCCCTCCAGATGGAGCCCCAGCCCTCATCTTACAAATGGGGAAACTGAGGCCCGGGAAGGTCAGGAGCTCTCCACTGCAGAGCCAGAAGAGGACCCTCAGCCTCTTCAGTGTTCACTTGGCAGCCTGTACCACCCGCTCCCCCTAGAACCACTGCCAGAGAAGCCACTTCCTCCAGCTCCCAAAGGGCAAGTGAGGCCTTGAAACACACAGGCCCCACATCGTCACCTGCTGGGCCTCAGGCGTTTCAAAGCGAAGACCCTGTGTGGTTCCTTCCACCCCGTGAGTGTCAGCATCGCATTTTAGTACTTTGCTTTTCCTCAGTAAGGAATAACAGCATTGACACACTCCAAACGGAGAGGTGGGTGACTTTCTCAGCCGTGCCTTCAGCTGACAACGTGAGCATGAACGTGACAGGGCTGAGCTCCAGGTCGGTGGGCCCGTCAGGTTGGGCTGGACCATCCCGGAGTTCACTCTTGGTACAGACACTGACTTTTAGTGTGTGCTCTCCGTAATTAAAATTAAACTAAAATTAAATTCTAAGCAGCAAGCCAGGTTAACATGGTCTAATTGGCCTCACTACGGAAGCTTCCCGGGCTACTTTCATCATAATGAAGCTGGGAATGACAGCAGCAATGACATAAATACCTGCACCCACTAAGAAATAAACACATGCATTCATTTATGTGTCTATTTATGCCCAACAGGCTCATTATGAATTACCTCCTAACATGCAGAAGGACGATCCCCCCATACAACAACCCTGCCGCGTCTTCTGTGTGGTTCCCTCAACCTGTTTCTCCCCTCACCCGCCTCGCGGCCCCCCAGTTGCCCAGGTGCAGAACCTCCCAAGCGAGGACGTCACCTGGCTGTAGGTGCCGTCGCCATTGCACTCTGGAATGAACACTTGCTGAAACTCCTTCCGGGCTTGCTCCTGGGTGTACTTCCTTTCGGCCACACACCTGGACACATCTGCAGGGAAGAACAGGGCGGAGCAGCAGTTACGAAATGGGAAGAAGACAGAACAGATGGGAACGTTGAACGATGCAAAGGCGAGTCAGGCAGGAGTGCTGAGGACATGGAGGCCGGAAGGGGCTCTCAGCAAAGGGCCCCCCAGAAGAAGGGCAGGTGCCCGTCACATGCAGGTCTGGTCCTATCTGATGCAAGTCCCGGGCGGGAAGGGCAGGATTCTTCTCCACACTGAATGAATGAGGACACTGAGGCTCAGAAGGCCTTCTGGCTTATCCCTGGGGAAAGCAGCTGGCCCCTGCTTCCTGAAAATGAGGAAATACCAGCTGTCTGGTGGGGCACAGGCAGGCGCCAGCAGGTTCAAGGACATCCACCTGAACACACCAGGATCAAGTACAGACACAGAGGGTGCGCAGAGCTACATGCCACTGTTAAAAACAGACCAAAGAGAACTGACCGAGGGGCAGGGGTCTCAGGACTCACGGTGAGGGCCTTCCAACAGCAGCTGCAGCCACAGCCGGCCTGCTGAGACCAGCTCGACAGGAGAGGACACCTGCTCTCTTCTCCCTGTTTCTCAGTTCCCATCCTGGCTCTTCCCACTTCACATGGAAATCCTACCATCAGGTGGATAAAAGGGTCGCGTCTCCTTAGAAAGCCTCATCCTCTGCCCCAGACGCTTCACATCCCACCATCCCGACAATACTGTGATATCACAGAAGGCACAATGTCTAAGCTCACTGTGGGAAAAAACTAATTTGGACATACGGAGACATGAAAACCAGTAATGCAGGATGCGCACGTGCCATGAGCAGGACTTGTTTCTCCCTCCTCTGCACCATCAGGACGGGGCTAAGACATGTGAGGACCACAAAGTCGGTTGCTGACTGCAGCCACTCTCAGCCTTCCAGCCCAGCAAAGCCGTGAGCCCAGCGCCAACCAGGCCCATCTTTCAGAGGCACCAGGGGGAGAAGCCTTTGTCCTAAGAACAGCCTTCCAGTGCAGGAGAAGATGTCACATTCGCCGCCATGGGCTGCACAGGAGATGCCACGTTCGCCACCACGGGCCACGCAGGAGAAGATGTCACATTCGCTGCCACGGGCCCCGGGCCCCAGAAGCTGACTACACACGCATGCTTCGCTTCTTTGGACCATCACACAATGTAGCTCATTTGAACTTTAAAACTTGAAAAGAATGACTTTCATTTTTTTAAAAAAAAGTATTGCCAGATTCAAATCACAAGTGCCTACATCTGAGAGGGCACAAAGGCCCTCTCAACTCCAAGAAGCCTGCCTCAAATGTTGTTCATTTCCCTCTTCAGATGGTGACTTTTTGACTCCTGGTGGTTAGGGTGCTGGCTGCGAAACGCGATCTGATCTGCGGACCAGCCCTGGGCCCCGCCTGTCACAGCATGCTGGGGCCTGTGCCTCTAACAGTGCTCCAGGGCCTGGGGGCGGCTCCTCCCTGGCTTTTGCAGAGCACCCACCGGCCACATGCTGCGTGGTACGGGCCTCTCTGTAGCTGAGCAAAGACTCCTCCGTCCCGGCTTCCACCCTTCAGCTTTATTCTAGAGTCTGGCCTGGCCAGCCGGCACTCAGCAACATGTGGTTTTAATGCAGTCTGTGTTTGAGCTGAGGAGAAATCACTGCCTTGCTGGACGTCGGTCCTCATTTTTTAGTATAACCTGTGGTTTTGACTGTCTAAAAAGGAAAAGTCATAGGAGTTCCAGCTTGCGAGGTCTCGGCGAGGGTAAGGATGGAGCTATAAATTATTTCTAATATTTGAGCCGTCATGGAGCATGCCAAAAAAGCGTAAGTTTTCCAGACCCCTGTGGGCTTCATTCTTGGCCTGGCCCTCTTTTAAAGACTTCGCATTTGCCACTGGTCAGATGGTTCTGAAACCTGCAGCTCTTGGGTTTAACAGAATATTAAATTCCGAGTTTATATCTAGCCTATGGCAGACTATGTAATCACAGGAAACAATTAAGACTCAGCATGAAATTACAGGGCCCGCATAAATCATCCCTCAAAATAAATCTGCAGTCATCTTATTAAGCAAAACTGCTACACTCTTGCTGCTTATTCCCCAGATCTGCTATTCCTTATTCTGGATATCTTGTGTTCTATCAGGTTCAAGATCTTTACCCCAAGAAGAGCCTGAATAGCAGCCAACAAGGTCCATTCCACCCAGAGGCACAACATCACTGGGGAATTAGCACCTAGAAATTGTCACCGCCCTGGCTGTTCTCATTGTCACTCTAAGGCATTATGTGCTTGATACAGACACACCTTAGGCTGAATTAAATGCTCTTCTTCATAAAGACCAAAATATTAACCCTGAAAATTATACTACTTCCAACTTTTTAATCACTTTGAAAGAATAAAATAGGATGCTTCAACACTGTCCCTTGGAAACCTTATTTACGGATGATAAATGTCTCTCCTTAATATATTCTTACTCTGCATGATTCTTGGGGTTAAGTTAAAAATTAAGCAGGTCCCTAACTGTTAGTGGCCTTGTTCAGATTTCACTCTGAAGACTGTATGTCAACTGTTTGATTATTAAATCCCCAGAACATAAGCTACATGATTTAAAAAATTACTGTGTGATGATTAGGCACCGTGGCTCAAGCCACCTGATCACGGTGGCTGTAATCCCAGCACTTTGGGAGGCCAAGGTGGGTGGATCACGAGGTCAGGAGATCAAGACCATCCTGGCTAACAGAGTAAAACCCCATCTCTACTAAAAATACAAAAAAAAAATAATAATAATTAGTTGGGTGTGGTGGCACGGGCCTGTACTCCCAGCTACTTGGAGGCCGAGGCAGGAGAGTCACCCGAACCCGGGAGGTGGAGGTTGCAGTGAGCCGAAATTGTGTCACTGCACTCCAGCCTGGCGACAGAGTGAGACTCCGTCTCAAAAAAAAAAAAAAAAAAAATACTGTACAACTACACATCCATAAAATTTACCATCTTCTCCATTTTAAAGTCAACAATTCAGTGGCATTTCACACATTCACGATGCTGGGTAACTGCCACCTCTGCCTAGTTCCAGAACGTTCTCCTCATTCTCAAAAGAAAACCCTGTGCCCATGAAGCAGCCATTCCCCATTTCCCCCTCACCTCGACCGCTAGAACGATGCATCCCCCTCCTGTCTCAACGAATCTGCCTATTCTGGGCATTCCCTGTCAGTGGAATCATACACGAGGTATCCTTCTGTGTCTGACTTCCTTCACTTAGTGTCATGTTTTTAAGGTTCATGTTAAGTTACAGCATGTTTCAGAGCTACGTTCCTTTTTCAGCTGATTAATATTCTATTGTATGGACGGACCATGTTTTGTTCACTCATTCATTCATTCATGGATGAACACTTAGGATCTTCTGGCCATTGTAAGTAATGCCATTACAAACATTCACGTTAGTTTTTGTTTGAACACTTGTTTTCAAGTCTTTTGGGTGGAAAGTAGAAATGAGGGAGTAGAAATGGTGGTTCACACGGCAGGTCTGCGTTTAATTACGGAGGGAGTGTCTGCTGTCTGCCAGAGTGCTGAACCGCTGTTTGTCCAGCCAACAGGGACAAGTCTTTCAACTCCACTATCTGCCCAGAATTTATTTTGTCTTTTTAAAATTGTTGTAAACATTTGACTGGGATAAAATGCTGTCATAGTACTTTTGCTCACAGTATTATTTTTACTATAATCAGTATCTACCTCAAAGGAAAACTCAGCTGGAAATTGTAATGTTAATACTTTAATTAAATAAAATTGTTAACCTCCTTCTTATTGAAGAATTTTGTCACTTTTTATTAGACAAAAGAAAAACTTTCTGATGTGAATTTTGTCATACATTTTTAGAAAAGCTTTGCTCTTACCTGAAGAGCCAGGACTTTATAAATAAAGAATTAATCATTGTTTAGCAAGGCATCACGAACAGCAGGTTTTGTTTTTGTTTTAGAGACGGGTCTCTGTCAGCCAGGCTGGAGCACAGTGGTGCCATCGCGACTCACTGCAGCCTCAACCTCCTGAGCTCAAGGAATCCTCTCACCTCAGCCTCCCCAGTACTGGAAACATAAGCAGCACCATAAGTGGCTAATTTTTAAATTTTGTAGAGATGCGGTCTTGATTTGTTGTCCAGGCTTGTTTTGAACTCCTGGTGTCAAGCAATCCTCCTGCCTCCCAGAATGCTGGGATTACAGGCGTGAGCCCCCACGCCTAGCCCTAACAGAAATATTTTGATGAATTTTTCGTTAATGATAATTAATCGTGTAAGCAATTTATTTTTACCTGTTTAATGATGATTTCTTTCTTTCAGTTATAAAATAAAATGGGGCACCAGTGAGATCACAAACTTGTTTAAGTACCAAGGTATGTCATGGAGCCGAGGAGTGGGGGCTCACACCTGTAATCCCAGCATTTTGGGAGGCTGAGGTGAGTGTATCATCGGAGGTCAGGAGTTCACCACCAGCCTGGCCAACATGGTGAAGCCCTATCTATACTAAAAATATAAAACTTAGCCAGGTGTGATGGTGGGCACCAGTAATCCCAGCTACTCAGGAGGCTGAGGCAGGAGAATCCCTTGAACCTGGGAGGCGGAGGTTGCAGTGAGCCGAGATCATGCCACTGCACTCCAGCCTGGGTGACAGGGTGAGACTCTGTCTCAAAAGAAAAAAAAAAGACATATCATGGAAACTATTAAAATGTGATGCTCACTACAAAGTAGAAATGAACAGAAGTGTTTTATAATGGTGACTTGGGATGAGTATTTTCTTTTAAACAGGAAGCAAATAATTCCCTAATTCACTAGAATCTCTCAAAACAGGATTAGACAAGAATCAGCAGAGACTGCTTTGCTGAACATTTTCCACAGAAGAATTCTGGAGAGCAACAATTAAAAGGAACGGTTAAAAGTAATCTTTGAGAAACGTTTTCAAAACAGGACATGAAGCAGTGATATTCACAGGGGATGCTGAATTCGGTGGTCCTAAGCCCGAAGACTTCCTCTTTCAG